CTCTGGTGGTATCCATCTCTCCCATTCCTTCCCAAATCTTGGAAGTAGGGTTTCTCCTCACCAGAATAAGAGCACTTGGAATAACAGAGTAGGGTCCCTTCACCAAAAATAAAATAAAATTAAATAAAATTAAATTAAAAATTAAAAAAAATAATAAAAAAAAAGCCCTGGGATAACAATAGGGCATTACCTCCCCCAGAATAAGCAACCCTGGGCTGAGGTAGGCAAGCAGCTTGACTGAATATGGAACCCTAGGCTAGAGGAAAGAGTTCCTTTACTAAAATAAGAGCTGCTGGGGTATTCAAAGGAAAGCACCCTTGCCCAAGTTAGAGCATTTGAACTAAGTTTGTGTGGTGGTAGCAGGCAGGAGGTGCCAGTGTAAGGGTTGTAACACATCAGAATAAGATTCCTGGGGCTCAGAATGGAATTAACTTCAACCAAATAAACATCCTTAGTAAAATGAGAAGCAAGGAAATACCCCCCTCCAGAATAAGAAACCGTAAATTCTGGGAGGAAGGCTCCTTAACAGGATTGGAATGGGGACTGGGCAGACTTGGCTTATGTTTTCTGACCCCTGATCCCCAATCTCTGACCCTAGTAACACTGGATTTTTAATGACCTGTAAAACCAGATCAACAGATGTCCTTCTATCCCTGTAGCATGGCCATGGGATGGCTATCCCAACTAGGGCAGCAGGGACCAGGTCAAAGGGGTAGAACCCCCTTTAGGGGTACTAGGGGGTGCATCCTCAGCTGGTGTCTGCATCCAGGGATCCAGCAGGATCTCCTCCAATGAAGGTCGGGCAGAAGGTTTAGGGTCCAGGCACCGGCGGATTAGGGCACAACAGTCTGCAGGTCAGAAATACACAGGAAATTAGCAGTTAGTTGGGGCACCAGTCCCTGGGAGGTATGGAGTCCACTGGGCTAGGGCCAGTGAGGGCCTTACCTGGGGATACATGGTCAGGGAAGTGGAGCTCGGCCTCCAAAATCTCCTGGTCCCTCTCGAAGGGAATGTCCCCGCATACCATGTCATAGAGAAGGATACCCAGTGACCAGACAGTGGCCGGGAGTGCATGATACTGGTGACAAGAGATCCACTCCGGGGGGCTGTATACCCTTGTCCCTGCACGTAAGCCAGAGAGGTTAGACTACTCTTTGATAATGCCCTTCTTCCCACCCCACCCTCCCCAGGAAGTATGGTCCTGTAACCACAATAGGAGCTCTTTAAACAGCAGGGTCTCATCACCAGAATAAGAACCCAGAACAAGGTCAGGGCACTGTGAGAAAAAGGGCTTTAACAGAGGACAAGGCATGAGAGCCCTCAATATTAGAAATCAAGAACCTTATAAAGGTACAATGTAGATTAAGGGTTACAGGACACCCAAGCACTGGAGATCAAAGGTCAAGTCCATAAAGATAAAAGGTAAAAAAATCTCCCCACTGAGATTTATGGAAGCCTTACCATCAAAGTCAGTGTAGGGTTCATCATGAAGCAGGGCGCCAGAACCAAAATCAATGAGTTTGATACAGACTCGGCGGAGGTCTATCAGGATGTTCTCATCCTTGATGTCACGATGGACAACACCACGGGCATGGCAGTGCCGAACGGCTGCCACTACCTGAGCAAAGAGGCAGCGGCTTCGATCTTCACCCAATGGGCCCTGTTCTGTGATGTAGTCAAACAGATCCTGGGCAGGTAAAGGCCGCTCAAGGACCAGCATGAAGCCCTCTGGTGTTTCAAACCAGTCAAGCAGGCGGATCACACCAGGGTGTCCACCACCCGCACCCACCTTCCATAGCAGTGCTACTTCCAGTGGGCATGTGACCGAGTCTGACTGTGGGAGGAAACAGGGAGAGAGAAGGGAACACAGACATTAGGCCAGTAGCTCTGAGGCTGACTTCTCGCCTGAACTTAAATCACAGCCCTTCAGCCTCCTAACTATGTGGCCTTGAGCAAACCAATTCCTTCCTTGGGTCTCAGTTTCCTCATCTTAAGGGCACAAACAAAGCCTATGCACATCTGGCATGTAATAGGAGCTCAGTAAATACCTGAAGAACACATAAAAGTGGTTCTTAATGAAAGACTATTATGGATTTTTTTAAAAATTATCTTTGCTTTATTTATCTTTAATCCTCACCAAGGATATTTTCCCATTGCTTTTTCAGAGAGTGGGGGTGGGGAGGAGAGGACAGAGACAGAAAGACAGACATTGATGTGAGAGAGACACACTGATTGGTTCCCTTCCACATGCACCCCAACTGGGGCTAGGGATTGAACCCTGGACCCTTCAGTCCACCAGCCGATGCTCTAACCACTGAGAAAAACCAACTAGGGCTATTATGGAATATTTTATATGCTTTGTTCACTGACATCTCCAAAGAGTTTAGAACAGTACCCTATGCACAGTAGGTGCTCAATAAATATTAAATAGATGAAAGCACTTTACAGCATGGCATCTGGCACAGAATTAGCACTAAACACTATTACTGTGTAATGGTTTCTGTTTTGCTCACTGACATAGCTCAAGCACTTGACAGTGGCTGGCAACAGAGCAGGGCTCAATACATAGTATGTGTTAAATAGGTGAAAGCAATTAGTAGAAAAGGTCCTACCACAAACTGAGCTCTCAATAAAGATAGTATTTTTCCAAGTGCTTAGAATTGTGCCTGCCTGGCACATAGTAGGTGCTCAATATGCTTTTGTTAAATAGCTGAAAATGAGTACTTGTAAAGGATCAGGCACAAATTAAGAACTCAATGTTATCACGATATTTTGTTACTGTCACCAAGCACCTAGAACCGTGTTGAATGAAAGTGATTAGTGGAACTTAGAATACAGTAAGCTTTTTACGATGAAGCAAAATCTGAGGAGTACTCAATAAAGGGTATTAATGTTACTAGCCACAGAAGCCGCCCAACTAGCCCACGTGGGCACAAGGACTTTTAGAAGCAGCTCTCCTGCCTGAGATGGGGCCCTCTCCTGGCCACGCCACTGACTTGCACAGCTGCAGACAGGTTTCTCACGGTGATGGAAATTCCACTACTGCGCAGGCGCACCTTCTCCCTCAGGGTCCCAACGCTTGCGCAGGCGCAGTCTTCCCAGATCCCGCCAGGGGGCGCTCCCACCTTTACAAGTGGCCCAGACCCGCCCTGCCGTCCGTTAGCGCGCTAACGGCACAGAAGCAGCCACCGTCACCATGGCAACCAGTGA